CAGACAGCTGGGCGGCAGACAGCTGGTAGGCAGCCAAGGAGGGACTCTGCCTGGACCCCAGAGCCAGGGTCTGTCCGCCTACACCTTGAAGGAGACCCAACTGACCTGACCACTCTTTCCCCTAGCCCTCCAGTTTCCTAACTTGACCTAGGTAGGAACAGTCTGAAACAGCTCAGACTGAATGCGCCCATTCGCAGGAGGGAAAGACAGCCAGTCCCAGAACAGGATGGCCACTGTAGCAGGGAGCAGAGGGTCAGGCAGGTGTGATGATGGCCTGGTGGGAATGACCCCACCCACCCCCCCCCCCCCACCCCCCACCCCCCCCCCCGCCTCCGCAGATGTGGCTGGATCTCTGCAGAGGAAACTCAGGAGGCTACGCGCACACCCATCCCCCCCCCACGCCCATGAGCTACCTCTGCTGACCCAGAGAAGCTCGAACAGGCTTTCACCCTAAGCCCTGAGCTGCAGATGAAGAAGCCCACCCTGAGGAAAGTCACAGACCAGGGACAGTCATTGCATCCCCACAGCCTGGAGGGTGTCCTGAAAATACAAAGGCTGGGGTGCCTCCTCACCAGCTCTGATCATGGTGGGTGCCCTCCCCCCAACTGGACACCCCCAACTTGTGGGGTATATCAAGTTCCCAGTCTGGAACTGGTACATTCTTCCCCATCCTGGACCGGACTTTCCTATCCTGGAATTCCCCTATTCTGTGACCCACTGGGTGGCCTGTGCTATGATTAACCCCTCCATGCCACACTGGACTTGTAGGCCCCGCAGTCCGAGTGGGGGCCTCTACCCTCTCTGTCCCCGGGACTGATGTGTTCCTAGCACCCAGGGACACACAGGAGGAGGTCAGTCACTCCTCCCCGGCAAGGAACCAGGGAGCCTCGGAGTCTGAGGCAGGCCGGGAGGAGGAGGTGATGGCTCAGAACCAGTGGGTTCATGGGCGCGGCCAGGACACACCCAGGAACTCAGCAGGGCCTCATGAGCACCAGAGAAGGCAGGGTACCAGACCACGGAGGAGCGAGCGGTGAGCAAGTGCAGCGCCTGGCGCCTTATAAGGCAGCCCGGGGAGCCGCCGGCGTGGCTGCGCGCCAGAGGGAGGCTGTAGGGGCTGAGCCAGCACCCTGTCCCGGCAGCAGAGTTCTGTGCCCCATCGCCACCCAGGGGCCGCCCACCGTATATAGGAGGGTCTCACCAAGGCCCAGAATAGGAGAGCGAGCCCAGGGAGCCTCGGCTGCCCCTTCCCTTCTGCTATTCAGGTCCCCCGTACTCTTTCGAGGACTCTGCCAGGGTACAGCCTCCCTCCCTGGTGTACCCCCCCCAGGATGACTCATTTCTGCCCTGCCCCCTCGGAGATCCTGTGGGACCCCTACACATGCCTGTAGCAGCCACCAAAATGCTGTGCCCAGGTCACGATGTGCCAGTCATCACCAGTATTTTATTGGGCATCTGCCGTGTCCAAGTCACTTATTAGTCACCTTGCGGTGCTCTATAAAAACAAGACAGCAGCCCGAGCCCTGCCCCGAGGACTCCAGCCCTCTGTCAGAATTCTGAAGACTACAGCAGAACGTTCAGGCTGATGGAAGCTTAAATTTTAGCTTCTTCTTACTGCTCACGTTTCCTGCATCTTGAAGAACAGAGAATTACTTATTGTCCCGTGGAAATCCATTTTCTGCACTGGAAGAAGCAGCTAGCAGAGGAAAGATGGTTCGTGCACAAACAATTTACATTAAATACAAAAGACGCCTCAGAGTCATTGGAAGGGAGGCTGTAGGGAAGGATGGGTAGGGATTTGAGGGGTGTGCGGGAGTTCCACAAAGCAAAAGATGGAGTTCAGGAGGCCAGAGTGAGGACTTGCAAGGAAGGGGTGGGAGACCCAGAAAAGAGCTGAGCAGGAAGTTAGGGAGCAGGAAGTTAGGGAGCAGGAAGGACCCTGCTCTATGGTGTCAGGCCAGGGACAGCTCAGCAGGGGTACCAAGAGACCCCGAGGATGGGTGACCGGTGGAGGATGGAGAATGAGATGTAGCCTTGGAGAAGTTAGAGGCTAGGAGATAGGAGGCAGGGCCCCCCCCCAAGGGGCACCCCATATGATTTCCAATAGGCTCCCTGGGAAGGCCCTGCCTCCTCTCCCTCTGCCTACAGGAAGTGCAGCATCTTGGGGCTTAGATGACTATGAAGGGCTTTTCTTGTGGCTGGGGGAGGCAGGGGGTGGGGGGCTGGGGGTGGCTGGGGGTGCTCAGGCTTATTCCCAGCACCCACATCCAGCACTTACAACCTTGGCATTGGAGAGGTAGAGACAGGAGGATGGGGGGGGTGGGGGCAGTGTGGGCCAGCCAGCATAACGGGCAAGCCCCAGACCCCAGTGAGAGACACTGTCCCCGAAAGAGATGTCTAGGCAGACGGCACAGAAGTTAAGAGCACTTGTTTGGTCCCCAGGACCCACATGGCGGCTCACAGCCGTCCCCAACTCTCTAAATCTGGAGGATCTGATGCCCTCTTCCGATCTCGGCAGGTGCCAGGCGTGTACACTGTACACAGACATACATAAAGGCAAAGCAATCATACACATAAAAGAAATCTATCTAAAATTAAGAAAACAAGCCGGGCGGTGGTGGCGCACGCCTTTAATCCCAGCACTCGGGAGGCAGAGGCAGGCGGATCTCTGTGAGTTCGAGGCCAGCCTGGTCTACAGAGTGAGTTCCAGGACAGCCTCCAAAATAATACAGAGAAACCCTGTCTCGGAAAACCAAAAAAAAAAAAAAACACTGAACACTTGGGGAAGGGTCTAGGCCCTGCCCTATATGAAATGACAGACTATGGACACCCCCATGGAGGGCCTCACCCTCCCTGGGGAAATGAGGGGGATAATGGGGGGTTGGGGGGGAGGGCACGGGAGGAGGGGAGGGAAAGGGACCTGGAACTGACTTGTGAAGCAACCTTGTTTCATATCTAATTTTAAACTGAAAAATAAATTAAAAAACAAAACAAAACAAAAACACAAGATGGATGCCTCCAGAGGAATGACACCTGGCCTCCACCCACACAACTCACAACCACACACACACACACACACTCACACACACACACACACTCTCACACACACACACACACACACACACACACACACACACACACGCACCTTTCTTTGCCCTGGCCTACTAAATTCCTGCCCTCCCCAACAGGTTTCCACAGGGTTCTTTTCACTGTCCACGTCTGCCCACAAGCCACCAAGGGCAGAGGCTGCCTACTCCTCCCTGTGGCTCAGGGCCTGGCAACGGGCCTGTGTGCTGTATCTGAGCTGCGTCCTCACCAGAGGACAGGCAGCATCCTTAAGCAGACATTCCGCACCCCACCCCACCCCAGGATCAGGGCCACCTTCCACGCGGCCAGCACCAGCTGTGATCAGCAGCTGGGTGGCTCGGTGCAGCTGTCTGTCTCTCCCACCACATCCTGTCTGAGTCAGCAGTGTGAGCATCTCATCTCAAGGAGAGAGACGGATCTGGCCTCTTTGGAGGTCTCAAACCAATAAGGGACTGTGGAGAAAAGACAGGGTGCTGTCCCCTCTACTCAACAGCACCCAGAGCCTCTGTTTCCCCAACTTGAGGTCTGGACACTGAGTTCAAGCAACTCTCAGCAAGGTCAAGCATAGGGCTTAAGGAGAAAGACTCAGACACACACCTGGACCTACAAGGACCCTTCAAAGGTTCTCGAGTCCCTGAGTATTTATAGTGATCTGACACCTGGCACTCTAAGAAGACCCAGCTCCAGGTCCCCAGCCCCAGAGGCTCCAGGAGGAGTCTCCCCACCCTCACCCCAGCCTGGTCCCAAGCCTACCAACCACCAGAGAAGCCATGCGCATCACTGTGCTGCAGGCATTGTTTACAAGAGCCAAGCGGTGGGAGACAGCCCAGGGTTCATCAGTGGACAAACTGATTCTACCTGAGGCTGGGCACGTGTCTCAGTGGTAGAGCACTTGCCTGGCATGCACAAGTTCCTGGGTTCAAATCCCATGGGGGGCAGGGCAGGGGGTGTGTGTGTTCTGTCCACACATTTAATACTACTTAGTTTTCAAAAGGAGCAAAGTTCTGACACAGGCTACAACGTGGATGAATGTGAAGACCACTGTGCTACACAGGAGGAGTAGTGTCACCCAACCTCAGACAGAACAGAGCACGGGGGCTGTCAGGACCCGAAGAAAGAGGCACAGGGAGTTTCTGTTTGGGATGTGGGAAAGTTCTGGAAAACCCTGGAGGTGGTAGTGGTGGCACGCTAACCCGAACGGGCACTGAACCACACACATTCACACGGTGCAACAGACAGCGTATGCTGTGTGCATGCCACTACAGTTAATGGCAGTAACTAAAGCAGAGAGAGCAGCCCTGTGACTGTGACCTTGCCGCCTCCATCATGCTCCCCCCCCGTGATGACAGCAACCCTCCAGAGCCACGAGGCAAAACAAACCCCTCCTGCAATGACAAGAGTCCCTCGTGTAGGGAGGAAGGTCAGACAGACCAGAGGGACAGGAGGACGGGAGGCCTCCGGTGCAAACCTCAGGACCCCACCCCCACCCTCAGCTCTGAGCCTCTACCAGGCACTCTGGCTGCAGAGATCTGAAGCCCGCCAGATCTCCCGCCCTCCCAGAAGCCCAGCCAGCAACTTAACCTTCACCAGCACCAGGCTTGTTCCCTGCCCTGTGGGAGAGCACAGTGGCTCGGGGCACCAACTACTATTTTCTAGCCTCCCAGGCCTCTCAGTTCCAGGATCACATGACAGAGATCGGGCCTGGCCCAGCTGGTGGCTCAGGGGTGCTTCCAACTGCAGGCTCCTGCTGTGACCTGAGTCTTGGGACACAACTCTGCATATCCAAGTGCATTCACGCATGCACGCACGCATGCACTCACGCATCCCACACGCATACTGGATTTCTTCCTGGAAACTCACAGGAAGACCCGCCCACCCCAAGTGCACAGCCCGAAGACCCAGCCTGGGTTACTCACCCTCCTGGTTCCGGTATGGGACCTCAGCCACAGGGGGCCTGGGCTCCAGCCGGCTCTGCAGCTGAGACATTGGTGCCTCGGAGTTCTCCAGGGCCTGGGGCGGGAGTGGGCAGTTGGCTGCCTCGGCTGGCTTGGGCATCTGGATCTCTACCCTCTTGGGGGCTGCATCAGCGACAGGCGCAGCAGGGACCTCGGGGATCTTGGCGACAGGGGTCTCCACCCTGCGGTGCACTGACTCCTGAGGCTTGACTAAGGTGATCTCCGTCCTCCGAGGAGCTGGCTCTGGTGTCTTATGGCCCAGGACTTCAGCCCTCTTAAGCCCGAACCTCGAGGGCCCGGCAGCTGAGCCTGTGCTCTCCACCTGCTTGGAGGAGATGTCGATGGAGAGCTCGGTGCGGCGAGACATAGGCTCCGATGCCTTGGGCCCTGCCAGCTCCACCCTCCGTAGGGATGGCTTGGGGGAGCGCTGGCTCAGGGAGTCTACCAGGCGAGAAGCAGGCTCCGAGTTCTTCACGCCCAGGTCCTGGAATTTCTGGCTGGAGCTGGCCACCGTGGATCGGAGCAGAGGTGTCTGGACCCTCCGGGGTGGCGTGGAGTTGGGTGGCTCAATCTCCTCGACTTCAAACGATCTCTTTAAGGCTGAAAGACAGAGAGGAGAGTGGATATGGAGTGCACACAGGTATTACGCGAGGCGTTCAGTGTTTTAAAGAAGGGCAAAGGTGCCAGGCCAGGGGAAGCAGGGGATGCCAACTCCTCAGGAGGCTGAGGAAGGATCTCAAGCTCAAGGCCCTGCCCATGCTACAAGTTCAAAGTCAGCACAGGTAGCTGTGTGAGAACCTGTCCCCTTGAGAGAGGGGGACAGATACAGCTCTGTGGAGGGGTGCTTGGTGCTTGCCTACCCCGTGCAAAGCCCTGGGATCCACGCCAAAGAGAAAAACAAAGGGACAGAGAGACACATGCTGGCATGGTTGCCTAAGGGGCTCAGGAAGCCACCTCCCTCTTCTGCAGTCCGTAAGAGAAACAGACAAGCGCATTGTAGGAGCTCCCACAGAACACCTGCTATCGCGAGGCCGGACCGAGAGGAAGGTAGCCTCGCCTGTTCTGGGGCCACAGCCCAGACCACACAGCCTCTCCCTCTAGAGAAGACACAGGATGCTCTGACTTACGACTCCTGAGTCTCTCCTGTGGCTTTCCTCCCTTCCTCTTCTCCCCCCCTGAACACACCCAGACCCCATCAGCCACAGAGCACCGCCAGCCCGTGATACCCCAACAGCTGTGCTATATTATTATTCCTTGGTTGCCAAGCGGTGGTAGCGCCCACCCTTAATCCCAGCACTCAGGAGGCAGAGGCAGGTGGATCTCTGAGAGTTCAAGGCCAGCCTGGTCTACAGAGTGAGTTTCAGGACAGCCAGATCTACACAGAGAAACCCAGTTATGAAAAAAAGAAAGAAGGAAGGAAGGAAGGAAATAAGAAAGAAGGAAGGAAAGAAAGAAAGAAAGAAAGAAAGAAAGAAAGAAAGAAAGAAAGAAAGAAAGAAAGAAAGAAAGAAAGAAAGAAAAGAATAAGATGTTATTCCTGGGGCTGGAGAGATGGCTCGGAACTGCAGAGCACTTACTGCTCTGGCAGAGGTTCAATTCCCAGCACTCACACGGCAGAGCTTACAAACATGCATAACTCCAGTTTCATGGGATCCAGCGTCTCTCCTGACTTTTGCAAGCTCCTGTGTGCATGTGGTGCACACATACTCATACAGGCACAGTCACATGCGCATATATATATACTTATCAAAAACAAAAGGTTATTCCCTGCCCAGCCAGCGAGACAGTGTAGCATGTAAAGGCTCTCATGACCAAGACTGACAGCCTGAGTTCCACCCCAATATCCACCCCCTAGAAAGGAGTGACCCACAAGCTGCCCTCTGACCCCCATGCACACACAACTAAGCAAATAAACGCAATTTTAAAAAGAATACGAGTTCCTTGGCAGAGGACACCCTGTGATGTGCCAACAGCATGGGAACGCGGCACCTGTCTCTTTGATATCAAGGCTGTAAGTAACCCCTCAACAGCCTGCTCCCTCCTCAGTCTGGACCCTGTCCACCCAGCTCTCCTGGCCGCTCAGGGTGCTAACCACCCGGTCCCCACCCTGGGGCCCAGTGTGTTCCCACTCAGCCATGCTGACACCGCCACTGCGTCTGCTCCCCCGGGGAGCAGCAGGGTGGTGGCTGGGGAGCCTCTTGTCTCTGCAGCCACCAGCAAAATGAGAACCAGCTGTTTAGGTTAGCCAGGCACTGAGCGGGAAGGGCCCACGTGGCAGGAAGGCTCCACGGCTCTGGTTCCAGACAATGCAGGGCCCTTCCTCAGCAGCCCTACAACTCAGATTCCGTGGGACACCATGGTGTCCTCTTCCTTCCCACGGCTAAAAGGACCAAGAGCTGGCCCAGACCCTAGCAACAGCTCCAGGCTCATACGTACCTCCCTGCCTCTAGCCTTCTCCAAATGCAAGCACTCCCCCCACCCCCACCCTCACCCCCCCACCCCGTCCTCAGCCTCGGGGCTACAGTACCAGACTTTCTTTAGAAGACTTCAGGCTAGAACAAGGGCACACTCACTGAAGAACTCAAGCTCCCAGAATCCACATTTTAAAAAGCCACGCATGGGGCTGATTGGCTGGGTGGGGCAGCGTGCATGTGGACTCCAGGGTATCTGTCCCTGGGGAGCCTACAGCTCCGCCTGGGGCAACCCGAGCATCTAACCTTCCAACAGAATCGAGAACACTGGATTTTTATGATTCCTTTTGCTATCAATTAACTGAGTTATCTTGGTTTTTTTCTTTTTTCCCAAGACGGTCTCGTGTAGGTTGACCTCAGACTCAAATCTGTAGTTGGACTGACCTTGAGCCTCTGATATTCCATCTCCACCTACCAGATGCTTAGATTACGTGGGTGCATTACCGTGCCCAGGAAATAAGTTTGGAAATCCAGGTATTATAATAAATAATACCTTAAAATTCCTTGTCTTTTTTTTTTCAGTACCTTCGTGTGTGTCAGGTAAATGTGTCCTACCACTGAGATACATTCCCAATCATAAAGTGCAGCTACCCCCCCCCCGCCCCTCATCATCCCTCCCCCTCCCCCTCCCCTGCATCCTCAGCAACGGGGATGGAGCCTCGGACTTCGAGTGTGCAATCAGCCAGCAGTCTACACTCCAGTGCTGATTTCAGACACTGCCACAAAGCAAACTGTAGCAGGGCTGAACAGAATTGCATCCATGGACCTCAGTCACCCGTGGTCTCAAGGCCCCTAGGTCCCTTGGCCACCTACACTATGTGCACAAAGACAGGAGGAGCCTGACTTGGCTCAGGACCGTCCTCAGACACAGATAAGCACCTGCCCTCCTCCTCTGAAGAATCGGGTTCCCAAGCCAGCCCTTCCCAGCCTCCCTGCATCCCATGCTGCACTCCGGCCGGCACCACTGGCTTCAGCAAGTACATTCAGGGCCGGACCCGGCCTACTTGCAACAATACCGCCGCGTCAGGAACTTTCTAACAGCGTGGCCACAGGCTTCCAACTGCAGGCATGGAGCCCAGATGGGACTTGGGAGCAAGCGAGGCGTCGTCTTTACCCCTAAGGAGCCCCGTGAGCTCCACTTTCTTCAACGGTTGTACAGTGGCTTACAAAGCAGTCCCTGCCCCCAAAAGACCTGTACAACCGCTATCCCCACAGAGCCCGTGAAGGTGACCCTGTGGGAAAGGGGTCTTTACAGGTATAACCAAGATAAGAACATTTTGGAGGAACTGGAGAGATGGCTCGGCAGCTAAGCGCATTGACTGTTCTTCCAGAGGACCTGGGTTCAATTCCTAACACCCACATGGCAGCTCACAACTGTCTGTAATTCCAAGATCTGACACCCTCACACGGACATACAGGCAGGCAAAACACCAATGCACATAAAATAAAAATAAATTATTTATTAAAAATAAGGATATTTTGGGATTTGGGACAGACACCAGAGTCCTTGAAAAGGAAACATATAAGATTATCTGAGAGCTAGAGAAACCAGAGGACACAGAGTCAGGGATCCGAGTGATGCAGCCACCAGCCAAGGAAGGCCAAGGGCCACAGATGCTGGGACAGGCAGGAGGTACCCTCCCTGGGAGTTTATGTACAGCCCTGCTGACACCTTGAATTTAAACCCCAGAACTAAGACTATGGATGTGTTGTCAGGCCACCCTGTTCCTGGTACTGAATTACAGCAGACTGGGACACGGAACCCTGGGCCACAGGAGAGACGAAACTTGGAACGGTTTGGGGCCATGAGGCCCTTCCTCTTTGTTACCTGGAGGAGCCTCTGTGAAGCCCCACGAGATGGGTACAGTGCACCACACTGGAGGTTGATCACAGGCCATCATCGTCTGTGGTCCTGACCCCTCTGTAGATCTGAGACCCTGACTTGACTATATCAGATCCCGAGGACTGGCTTGGTAGAAGGGTGACTGTTGGGGGAAGTCCTGTGCATTTGTCAATAAATTACTGTTGAGCCAATAGGAAACCTAGATAGGAGGGACTAGGAGTCCAGGAGGACTCTGGGAAGGAGAAACACAAGAGAGTCAACATGTAACGCCATGGGGTAGGAAGCCCGGAACTATTCTCCGGTAAGAAACATACTTAGATTAACAATTATGGGGTAATTACTTAAGTCAGAGCTAGCCAGTAAGAAACAAGCAAGGCCAACAGCTTCATAATTAATATAGCCTCCTGTGTGTTTATTTGGGACTGATGCGGCTCTAGAACCAGGCTGGTGGGAAGGCTTTCTCACAAGGAAAAGCTTCCTTTAACAGGTGACCTTGCACAAGCCAACAGCTAAGGCATCCAAAGGGCTGGTAGGGGGCCCAAACTGTAGGCTACCGCACACAGACACATAATAGGATCAAGTCATAGGGGCTCCACACTGCCCTTGGGACCCAAAGCAGTACCAACCAGCCCTTATGGCCGGTAGGGGCCACCTTGCTTACCCAATAGCTATGGAGGGTTGACCCACCCCCCCCTCCGCCCCCATCCACCCCAAGCCAGGCTTAAATCTCACCCACTTCTCTGAGCCTCCTCAGCCTCCACCACCCTCCTAACTTGAACCAAAGCCTGTTGAGGAATCTCGCGCTTCGGTCCCACTTCTGGGATTGTATCCCAAGGAAATAATGGGAAGATTTATGCACAAGAACGTCTACATCAGCACAAACATGGCAAACCCTGGAGACAAGCCGGGGTTACATGCCAGAACCCCACAGAGTCATCCGAGTCAATCACGGGAAATGAGAAATGCTGAGGATATTAAGTAAAAATAGCAGGAGACAGGCCGCACACACAGACCCTAGCCCCCGTCACAGGCACACATGCAGTTTGCACGCACACGGGCGCTAGCACCCGCTCGCTCGGGAATGACTGTCTCTGGTTGGAATGGCAGTGGGTGGGTGTTCTTCACCAACTCTCCCTCGCAAGGCCCAACGCACCAGTGGAAAACTTAGTGGGTCACTAGGACCTCAGGACCCCAGACTGAGGAGACGGGAGGGTGAGAGCTGCTGCCTCAGGTTCGGGATGCTCAGGAAGGTGAGGTCTCCCAGGCAGCCCCAGCTGGGGAAGCGG